GGAGGGCAGCACATTTCCCAAGCTTCCTCCTGAATATCTCATACCCCCCGCTATATGCTGGACTCACATCCAAAGTAACAGGAGAGAAAGAAGATGAGGATGAAGATGAGGAGGAAGGTCACATCTGTCTCCAGGATCCCTAAATTTGGAGGAAAGGGAAATAGTTCACTGAGTGGGTACCCTCAGCAGGTGCCAGTTCTGAGCTCTCTCAGAGATCCTGGCTCTAGTTCACCAGATATCTACTCACCGAACTCATCGGCTGAGAAGTGTCGTGTCCAGAAGGACTTGCCATTGGTGAGGACCATCTCATACTCCAGCTGCAGCCCGTCTCCCTGTGGGGAGTGTGGAGGCCTAAGGAGGGCCCTGGGCAGGGAAGGGAGTCCACAGGAAGACAAAGAGGAAAAGCACCAGGTGCCCCCCCCCACCCCGACCAGCCACTTACTCCACACTTGCTAAGCGCAATGTACCACCACCTTTCACGCACAGAGCGGAAGCTTCTACCGCTGGAGCAGCTCAGGTAACGGGTTCCCTCCTCTGACACCACCTGAGTAGGAGCCAGGGCAAGGCTGAAGCTTGTCCTCCAGGCTCCCAGGCCCTTGACCTTCAGCACCTGCCCACTCCCCCGCACCTGACAGCCTGACCAGGCATACTGTGTGGTGAGGTTGATGACCTGGTTGTTCTCTGGCCTGATCACTGACTCCTTGGCCAGGCAGTCCTAGGGAAGGCATAGACAGGGTCACTCCCTGGCCATCAAGGACCTTCTGTTCCCCTCCCCCTACACCTCCTCACAGCCCTCACCTTGTCCCCTGCTTTGTACACAGCTGGCCACTGGGATGGGTCATCAAAATAGAGAAGGATGTTCTGACAGCACTTGGCCTGCAGCCCAGAGATTTGGGAGTTTGAGGGGGTGTAGGGGGCTGGGGTAGCCCTTGCCTTGAGAGGCCAAGGGAGTCTCCAGCTTCAGCTTGGAGAGCGGTTTGGGGAGACTCACCTCAGGGTAGCGGAAGCGGAAGTCCAGTCGGCCGTAATCCGAGAGGAAACAAAATCTTGTCAGGAACACCCAGTCCTGGCAAATGGGCCCAGTCAGACCCTCTTCCAAGTCCTCTGAGAACTCTCGTGGACTTCACAGACCTTCAACTTTGCTTCCCTACCCTCAGGTCCTTGACTTCCCAAATACCACAAGGAGACCAAGTCACCTCCAAGATTCTTTCCCGATCCCTTTGCTGCGGGTCCAGGACTCCTGCCATCCTGATTCTTTTCCAAGGTGCACCCCCCCGCCCCGTGAACCTCCCCTGCCCTCAGACACTCCTTCCTCCATTTTCCAGGAACCCAGAGAAAGACCCTGGGGGGCAAGGTGCCCAGGTGAGCCACCTCTGGTCCCAGCCACCTTCCCACCCGCATTTCCCGGTTTATGCACACACACCTCCGCCCCACCGCCGTCCCAGAGACCATCCCGGGCTGGGGAATCTTCCAAACCGCCCCTCTTGGCCCTGAGCGCCAGTGTGCTGAACTCCTGCTTTCTGCGGAGCGAGGAGTGCTGTCCCTTCAGCACCACCTCGGCCTGGACCCCGCTTCCCGGCCGCTCTCCCGACCTGCCCCCTCCGCACCCAGGTCTGACCTCCACGTCCCTAATGCAACCCCCAGGTCTGGCCTCATCCCCGCGGCCCCGACCCTGGCCCGGTCCTCCATCCCCCGGCCCGGCCGGCCGCAGCTCCCAGGTCCGCCGGGAGGGTGGCAGGGGGCGGGGCGGCACCTGTCCCCGGTGGTCCCCGGGGCGGCGGGCAGCTGGGGAGGGCCCTGCGTGCTCACCTCCTTGGAGCTGAGGTTGCCCCGCACGTACTTGGCCCGGGCGCGGGGGGGCAGTGGCAGCAGCAGGAGTAGAAGCGACGGTAGCAGGCGGCGCAGCGCGGGCGTGCACCGGGGCTCCATTGCGCCCGCTCCGGCTCCGGCCCCGGCGACGGAGGCGAGAGCGCGCGGGCCAGCGCGCGCCCCCGATTAAAGGGGCCGCTGGGCGCAGCAGGCCCCGCCCTCCTCGCCCGGATGGCCCAACCTGGTCGCTACTCTCCCCACTTGAGAGGAGATGTACATTTCGCATCCTTTGTCTCCCCGCCCAGCTTCAGTCCTGTCCTCCGGGAGTCTTCCAGATACCTTTGGTTCTCACTGTCCTCAACTGAATTCAATCCCCCAAGCCAGGCCTCCTCCGGACAGCCATCCCCAAGACAGTTCACAGCCCCCAGATCTGAGCTCTCTTCTGACCTCCCCTCAGCTTAGTCCCCAAACTATTCTTTAATTACCCATCGCTCTGTCCATAGCAGCCACTCCCAGCTGTGTTCACGCCTGGGTTGCCAGCGTCACAGACTCAATGCACCCTTGTGAAGTGCCTGCAGAGGCGCAGAGGGCAAGCCACTAGTTCTGGGTCACACAACCCAGAGGCGGCAGAGCTCTCTGCCGCAACCACCAAACCACCATACCTGGCTGCCTGACCTTATGCATTACTCACCAGAGTGTGAAACGGGGTTGCTGTGAGTTGGAGAGGTGTGAGACACGCAGGAGCATGGACTCAAGCTGCTTGGGTTCAAATCTCAGCATTGCCAGGTTCCCACCGTAAACCAGCAACCAACTCATTCAGCGCAGTGAGCTCCTAGTCCAGTGCTGGAATCAACCTTGTAGTTTCTCAGTGGGCCACCAGGAGCCCTGCAAAGCCCTCAGCTTGATTTTGCTGATAAGACTCAAATCAACACTCCTGGCTTCATCCCTTACCTTCCACTGCAGAAAATTTGCTGTTCAAACCAGCATTTTTATTTATTTGTCATGGTTTTTGAGACAGGGTCTCATTATGTAGTCCAGGATGGCCTTGAACTCTGTATGAATCCCAGGCTGGTTAATCTCCTGATTTCTAAGCGCTGCTATTATAGAAGTGTGCCACAATGCTTGGCTTTATTTTTATTATGTTTAAATCTTGTTTATTTACTTTGAAATAAGAACTTGCTGTTTGGCCCAGACTGGTCTTAAACTCTTGGGCTCAACTGATCCTCCTGCCTCACTCCTGGAGTGCTGGGATTACAGGGAGTGTGCCACCACTCCTGGCTTTAAAATGGTATTTTGAACTGGAAGTGGTGGCGCATGTCTGTAATCCTAGCACTTGGGAGGCTGAGGCAGGAAGATGGTTGTGAGTTTGAGGCTATTCTGGGCTACATGAGTTCAAGGCCAGCCTGAACTGCATAGTGAGACCTTGTCTCAAAAAAAAAAAAAAAAAAAGGAAACAAATAAAATAAAATAAAATAAAATGGTATTTTAAAGCCAGGTGTCAAGGCACACTGCCTGTAATCCCAGCACCCAGGAGGCTGAGGCCAGACGACCAAAATTTCAATCCCAGCCTGAACAATTTAGCAAGACCTGTCTCAAAAATGAACAGTGGTTGAGCATGGTGGCACACAACACTTGGGAGGGTAAGGCAGAAGGACTGCCACAAGTTTGAGGCCAGCCTGGGCTCCATAATGAGTTCAAAACCAGCCTGAACTGCATTGTAAAACTCTGTCTCAAAAAAAGTAATTTTTTAATGGGAAAAAATAATTTTTTAAAAAGCAAAACTTTGTTTTTTAACAGCAGACAATTGATCTTGGTAACAAAAATGATGGATGCATAAAAACAGAATGTAGTATTCTAAAGCTACTTAAATATTAAAAAAATAGGCAACTGATTAAAGTATTTAAATACTGTGAGTGGGAGCAAAAGTTTGTGGGCCAGATTCAGCCCTGATCTGCTACTAGTACCCTGATCATGTCACTTACCCTGTTCTCTGTGATCCCAGACAAGGAGCTCCTCAAGGGGAGGCCAAATGTGACTGACTAGATTCCAGCGTGATCTAACGATATAGGAGCTAAATAAAAATGGTCACGCCCTTCTTACCCCTCCCACTTCTGCCCTCCAGGCCTTCCTATGTTCTCTTTGCTGTAAACGTTCTTTCCCACCAAGTTTCTACCAATCTTCAAAAATACAGGGCCTGTGTCAGCTCTTCTACAAAGTCATATCTTGTTTCTTAGACTTCCTAGCTCCTGCACCTCTCTCCAGATGTAGCTAGGAGCTGGGATTCCCCCACCACTGGATTGGGTGTCTCCTGGGAGCCCTGGGCTCACTCATTCTGGGCCCCTGGATGGCTAGAGCTCAGGGTCAGACACCTCATTGGCCAAACTAGGTGTATGTGTTGGACTGACTGAGGCCCCAAGTTTCAGCATCCCAGTGGCCCCTCTGGCTTCAGGAAGGTAACAAGTAACAGTGCCTTCTCCTTCATTTTGGTCCTAGAACTCAAAGCAAATGAAAGCTACTCTCCTGGATCAGCCACTCACTAAAACTCAAGAGGACCAAGAAGAAGGAACTTTATTGAGGTGACTGGGTATGAGGATACCCTGCCCCAGACTTAGTCTCAGCCCCCTTAGTACAGTCTCATGGGTGGAAAGGACCAGGCTTCTGGACTGCTCTGAGCTACTACCCAGGAGAGACTGGGCAGTGGGGCAGAGGAGTTGGGGCTCCAGTCCAGGCCAGAAGTTTGGGGCAGCAAAGGTGATGGCTGAGGCAGGGGCTGAGGCGGGCCGACACACCAATGATGGGGAGGCGGTGGTGTGCCTACAAGCCAGATGCTTTTTAGTAGGTCAAAGGCTGTTGGGGGACCCCAAGCTGCCCCAGAAGGTGAAGGCAACAAAGACAAGGAGGGTGGCCAAGGACCTCTCGGTGGTGGCAGGCTCATCCTGAGTGCAGTGGGAGTGCTGGACATACAAGGCATGGCAAAGCTGTCCTTTGTCCTCTGTTGCCTCCTCTGTCTCCCTTCTCTTGGGGCCTGTTCAGGCCTGTTGATCCAGGAGGGTGTCATTCTTTGTCTCTCAGTAACCTCAGGTTTGGTTCCTGGCACAAAGGAAAAAAGCACGGGAGACAGGTGGGCTACAGCAGAGAATGGAAAGGGGATAGCGGGGCAGGAGGCGGGCTCACCTGGCAAGGGCAACTGGCAGCCTTGGAGCACCAGGGCAATATCAGGCACACAGCCATGGAGGGCCTGTAAGGTTCCCACGATGGCATCCCTGGCTTCCTGCACCAGGTTCCTCCTGGGGAAGGCCTGTGGCAAAATCAGCTGGCATTGTAGCTCCTCTAGAAGTTGCCCCAAGCCACAGAGTTCTGGAGAATTAGGTGGGCCTGGGCCTGAGCCCCCAGGCACCTGGTTCTCCTTGCCCCTTGACTGTGGGGCTGGCTCTTGAATCCTAGGTGGGCTGGAGGAAGGCTTAGTGGGGAGAAAGGGAGTGCTTGGCTCCAGGGACCCACTGTCAAGCAGCCGGGCCACATCCAGGGATTTCACCTCATGGTTGAAAAGACCCCGGTGCTCCCGGCTCAGCCGGCCCTGGGTTATCACCACAAGCTTGGAGGCAGCAGGGACCACGGGATCCTGGAGGGCAACAGCGGGATCCTGACTGGACATAGGAGGATCTTGATAGGCCAATGGCCGGCGGCTGCCCACCAGGGCTTCGTTCCGCTCCCTCCTGGTCTTCCGGCGACGCACGCGGCCAGCTTTCTCAGGCTGCTGGAAAGGCTGACGGGCTGGGGGCTCCCGGGGGTCCATGTTGTCCTGGAAGAAGAAGGGACAGTGGTCATCAGATGGAGATAAACGAAGTAGCAAAATGAAAATGACAAGAGATGGTTGAGGTGAGGTGGGAACACAATTTTTAACAATACTTATTTATGTATTTATTTATTTTCTTTTTTCTTCCGGTACCGGGAATCGAACTCATGACCTCGCGCTTGCCAAGCAGGCGCTGTGCCACTGAGCTAAATCCCCAGCCCCTATTACATATTTATTTTAGTGGTTGTAATGGTGAAAGCTGAACCAGAGAACTGGAAACAGGAAAGTGGGCAAATAGTCAAAAAAAAAAAAAAAAAAGACGGAGGATGGGAAAGGAATCGTGAGATTCAACTGATCTAGGGGAACAGAGTGGGATTTTAGACAGAGGAGAAATCCAGGAGTAGAGACGGTACAGGAAGATACAGAAAGAGAAGAGAGGCGGTAGACAAAGAGCAGCAAGAAAACGTGCGCGCCTCAGAAGACTGCGAGGACAGAAATGAAGACGGAAGGGCGACTACGGGCAGGCACGGGACTGCTCAGGAGCGGGGGCCCACAGGCGCAGGCGGGCGGGGGCAGTTGAGGTCCGGCAGCGGGGCTGAATGAAAGGGGAGAGGTACGGTTGGTGGAGGGAGGGTGCCTGAGCCCCCTGGGTCCCGGGGAACCCGCCGCACTCACTTACTCCACGTGGGTGTGGAAAGCAATGGCTTCTCTTCTGCGACGACGCTAGCCTCGAAGCTGCTCAGCGCTCTTCCAGGAGTCAGGCGTGCCACACGCATGCGCACGACACGCAGGCGCGTGCCCCTGCCACGCCCTTTGACTTCCACGTTCTGAACTGAGGCGCGAGGCCCCCGGGGTGCCGGTTATAGCTCTATCTCCCCCAGCCTCTTGACCTTGGCACCACCTGTCCACCAATTGGCTGTGAAGTCCCCCTAGGCCCGCCCCCTTCCTGAATGCTGATTGGTTTAAAAAAACTATTCGCGCAGTGTCCCGACGATAAATGGCTAGACGTTGAGCGAAGTACCATGCAGACTTGCTTGTCTCCGAGGGTGGACTTCATCCCTGGAAAATCGTTGTTACTTTAGTGTTGACTTCAGCGGAGCCGTGTGATCTTGGAAAAGTTAGTTAATTGTTCAGGGCTTCCCCATTTCTTGATCTGTAAAGTGGGATTAGTAATAGTCTGTCCCTCATATGGTTACTAAAAGGATGGAATGAACCTGCACAACTGTCTTGAAACAGTGCCTGATGAATGAGTGAATGCTTGGAAGCTTTGTTTCTCACTTAAACTTTGCTTCACAAACTACCTCTGCCTCTCCAATTTACCTATCTACACTTACCCCCTCAGACTTTAACATCAAGTTATAAACCGGTTGTGGTGGCGCACGCCTGTAATCCCAGCAACTCAGGAGGCTGAGGCGGGAGAATCTTTGCAAGTTCGAGCCCAGCCTGGGCTACAGAGTGAGCCACGGCCAGCCTGAACTGCATAGCGAGACCCTGTCTCAGAAAGACCAAAAAAAAAAAAAAAAAAAAAAAAAAAAAAAAAAGTTCAAACTGGGAAATTTAGAGAGACCCTGTGTCCAAAAATTTTTTTCTAATTTATTTTTTGAGGGCCTCACTATGTAGTTCAAGTTGGCCTTGGACTCACTAGTTATCTCACGCTGGCCTCAAACTCACAGCAATCCTCCTGTCTCAGCCTCCTGAGAGCTAGGATTACAGGCATGCAACACAACACCCAGTCAAAAAAAATTTTTTTTAAAAAGGGGGGAGCCTGGGAATGTAGCTCAGTGGCAGAAGATCATAGGTTTGATCCCCAGTAACACACACACACACACACACACACACACACAGACTCCTAAAAGCCATGCTAAGGTATTCTCCATGTTCTAATATGTAATAATATAACCAGTGCATCTTTTCTTTCTGCTAGCCCATCTTCATTCTCTCTCTCATTCTCTCTCTCTCTCTCTCTCTGTCTCTGTCTCTCTCTCTCTCTCTCTCTCTCCTCTTTTTTGAGACAGGGTCTTGCTATGCAGTTCAGACTAGCCTTGAGCTCACTTTATAGCCCAAGTTGGTCTCGAACTTGCAACGATCCTCCTGCCTCAGCCTCGAAAATGCTTGGATTACAGGTGTGCACCACCACACGTGGCTTCATTATCTCTCAAATCCCACTCAGAGAGTACTAGAATACCCTGGCTCTCAAAGTCCTTCTATTTCTCCTTTCCAACAGGTTCCCTGTACCTTTCTCAATCACAAGTTTGACCTCTCATCTCTGTCTGGATCTGTCTCCCATGACACATGGATAAGGCCAGGATCCTACTCATTCATTTAATATTCATTTGGCAAATACTGTACTTGTGGAGCAGCCACTATGTGCCTGGGCCAGTTCCAGGGCAGTGGATTGAGACAGAACACAAATACAATAACTAAGATTCATCTCTATGGCTCAGGACCAATCTCTCCAGAAGGAGTAAATAGAGAGGAAGGTCAGACCTGAAGGTGGACTTACAAGAAAATGACCAGGACTTTTAGAGGCAAATGAGACCTTCACCTTCTCCTTTAGAACGGAGATCAGAGACTACATTGAAGTCTGAGATTAATTTGAGGCCAAGTGGAAGAGGTGCTACCCTAGGTGGCCTAGGTTGGTAATGTGGGTTTCAGAACCTCGACACCCAGTTGAAGTTGCTGGTTGGTCCTTGGGTTTAGAGAGGGGAGCAGAGGCCACAGATCCGCAAGATGATCTGCGGGAGGGGTGCCAGGCTACCTAGACCTGGGCCCTGGAGACATCTCCAATTTCCTTTCTCTTTCTTCAACTCTTTCTACTTTCCATGCAGGCCCTGTGGTATCGTGAATGGACAAATACGTAGTTTAGATTTTATGCTATTTAAGAAAAAAGAAGAAGAAAAAGAAGAAAAGACCCTGAGCTAGGCATGATGGCATAGACCGCCAGTCTGGGAGGCTAAGGCAGGAGGATCACAAGTTTGAGCCCCGCCTAGGCAACTTAGCGAGACCCTGTCTCAAATAAAAATAAAAAGGGATGGGGATGTCACTCTGAAAAAAGGCCATGGGTTCATTCCCCAGTACCGCAAAAATAACAAAAAAGCTAGTGTTTTGAGGAGAGGAAGCCCAAAAACAGACAGGTTCCCTAAAAACACTGGCGCCACCTTAGAGTATCTCCTTAAAAACAGGTCGCTAATTTTTACATTTTGCCATCTTCCTTTTCTGTCCCTCATATTAACAGAAAATGGGAGAGTCCCAACACGCACCAGGTGCGTACGAGCCACCCCTCAAGGGATCCAAGAATGAACTCGCCCACTAGCTCCCTTCACCCCCACCACCACGTGTATGGGGCACACCCTCCCACAATAGGGGTCCCTTCCGCACTTTTCTCTCCCTACCGCAAATAGTTTCTTCCTCCGAAGAACAGCACTAGATTTTCCCTACCCACTGTCGGCTTTTCAGGTGGATGGGTCCTCCCCGTGACGCCACTGGGTGGTTTGTCCCTCCTCCCCCGCCACGGGTGCTGAATGGTCTCGCCTGCCCCGTCTACAGTCCAGGGTGCGCTAGCCGCCGCGGCCGGAGCGCCTGAGGCCTGGGCGGGAAGCGCCGGACTAGCCCACTGCGCGACCGCTTTGGCCGAAGAGAGGGCTCTCAACAATTCCGCCTCTCTCCTAAGCGAAGGTTTCTGCCCCTGGAGAGGAGGGGGTGCCCTTGATCGGCCTGCGCCCTTAGGGAGAGTGGGCGCGCCGGGACGGTCCATTGTTGTCCGGAGGGGTAGGAGTGGGCGTGGCGGAGCCTGCACTCCAGGACGGACCTCGCTAACTGCTTCGCAGGAGCTGCAGCTCCAAGATGAGCGAAGAGAATCCAGCCAGCAAGCCTACGCCGGTGCAGGACGTGCAGGGCGACGGGCGATGGATGTCCCTGGTAGGCGATCACACCCACGGTACTCAAGAGGTCGGCTACCGGAGGGTGGGGGTGGGGATGTCAAGAGATCCGTGATTGTCCCCGCCTGGCTGGGCAGCTGAGGGCAGTTGGGGTCTTGCTGCCTGAGAAAGCAAGACAGTAGGGGGCACGGAGCGTGCGTGCCATTAACTGTCACACACACCCTTCGTGCGTCCCCGTAGCATCATCGATTTGTGGCGGACAGCAAAGACAAGGAACCCGAAGTCGTCTTCATTGGGGACTCCTTGGTCCAACTAATGCACCAGTGCGAGGTGAGACCTATCCCCTTCTGCTGCACCAGTTCTATGCTCTGAGTGACGCGGCCCAGAACCCAGGCCAGACTAGGTGTGGGGTACTTGAAATGGCTTGCGGCGGCTGAGCACCAAGAATCTCTGTAAGTGCAACATTCTACTGATAAGGAAGTGTGTGCCCAGAGTTTGTCAGACTTAAAATGAAGCTTTCTGGCAAGAAGATTGCCTAGGGTGAGGCCCTTTATTGTTTGCTCAGAGTACAGCCCTGTTGGGTTTATACAAAGCGAAGGTCGCCTGTAATGGTGCTGTACAAAGGGGGCCCAATCATATTGTCTTTCCACTAAGCGACGTTCAACCAGAAAGACTGTTCTCAAAATAAAATTCAGCCGGGCCGGGGATATAGCTCAGTGGCACAGTGCCTGCCTGGCAAGTGCAAGCGAGGTCCTGAGTTCGATTCCTGGTACCAAAAAAAATAAAGTTCAGCTATAATGCTGTTGGCTGTGTGCGTGGCTCAAGCAGACTGATTTCCATAAAATGAGCCTTGCTTGTAGTTATGCGACTATAATAGGTTACCATTAAGAGGTTACCTGGTGCTGGGGTTTGTTCAAGCTGAGATTTAACCAGACTGCTTCTATAAAGCAAGGCTTTCTCATAGTGGCATTTGATTAAAGCCTGGACAGGGGGTGGCCGTCCATGCTGAGGATGCCCCTGTGCCCACGCTTCTTGCCCACAGATCTGGCGAGAGCTCTTCTCTCCTTTGCACGCACTTAACTTTGGCATTGGTGGCGACAGCACACAGCACGTACTGTGGCGGCTGGAGAACGGGGAGCTAGAACACATCCGGCCCAAGGTGAGAGGGACTTGAGTGGGGATTAAAGCAGCTTCTGCTTGCCACCTCACTGCTGTGTTATGTCCCTCTTTCCACAGATTGTGGTGGTCTGGGTGGGCACCAACAACCACGGGCACACAGCAGAGCAGGTGACCGGTGGCATCAAGGCCATTGTGCAGCTGGTGAACCAGCGGCAGCCACAAGCTCGGGTCGTGGTGCTGGTGAGAGACTGGGAGGGTGGGAAGGGAAGAAGGGCAGTGATCGGGGACCTCCTAGATGTAACCCAGTTGACACAGTTCTTGGCAATTTGGCACAGCGCAATGGCTTTCAAGCACAATCTCGTGTGGTTCCTTGCTACACCTGTAAAAGTAGCTGTGCTTAGGGGCCAGTTAGCCCTTTTGCCCAAGGGACTGCTTAAGATTCTGGAGGTGGTAAACCCTCACCACCCCACCCAAAAAAACCACTCTATATAGGCAAAAGTTGTCAGGCATTTGTAGAGTGTGTTTAGGCGGGGACATTTCCTCCTTTGCATGGGGCATGGCCATGATGTCGACATTTTTATGAGTGAGCAGGGAAAGTATCACTGGCTGGCCCTCCGTTCTTGCCGATTGGACATTGGGACACAGTATCAGGAACTACCCTTCTGCCTTCCCCGCTTTTCCCTTCCGGGTGTATTTACAGCTGGGGACTTTATGGTGAGGATTGGACAGTTTGGCACAGAGAAGAGTAGCCAGATCCTGGTAGGAAGGACATCTTAAGACTCTTCATGTTGCTCCTCAGGGCCTGCTTCCAAGGGGCCAGCACCCCAACCCACTTCGGGAGAAGAACCAACAGGTGAACGAGCTGGTACGGGCAGCGCTGGCAGGCCACCCACGGGCCCACTTCTTAGATGCTGACCCTGGCTTTGTGCACTCTGATGGCACCATAAGCCATCATGACATGTATGATTATCTTCACCTGAGCCGCCTAGGCTACACACCTGTCTGCCGGGCCTTGCACTCACTGCTTCTGCGTCTGCTGGCCCAAGACCAGGGCCAGAGTGTCCCTCTGCCAGAGCCCACACCCTAAGCATACTGCCTTCCCACATTAAATTCTCCTTCCTCAGTCTTCCGTTTCCTGCTTTATGGCCAAGCCTATCTGGGTACCACCACCAGATCCCCACCCTGATACAGGACCTTTCAGGGTCTTTCTGCTTCTTCCCAACAGGCATCACTAGTCCGTGAAGGCACTTTGGTTCTTGGATACAGGTGAATTTCCACTATCACAATAGTGTCCTTTGGGCAGATGCTACCAGTCAAGAAACACCGGGTGAAACCAGTTTGCCAGCATTACCTTGTTAGGATCAAGGTCAAGCAAGAATTCTGGGGACATACTCAAAAGCACACAGAGCTGTTTTTCCAGTCTGCTCTTCACATTATCCTGGCTGGAACTCGCCTTAGCCTAGATGCCATTTGCTGTTGAGGCTTCTAGACCCTTCCTCCCCCATTAGTAGTCTCTGTGCATTGGATCCTGTTGTCTCAGGAGGGCACTATATCCAGAGGCTGAGTGGGAGGGGCCGAACCCCCGAGAGGCTGCAGTGCTGACTCAAGCCACCTGGGGGCAGTAGGGGCCACTCAGGATGGCCTAGTATTCTGGGTAGACTGGCTTTTAAGTGCTGCCTCTGGGCTAGGACCTCTTGGGACCTCTAGAGTAAAACTGATTCCAGGATAGATAAAGGTGAGCTACCTTTCCCAAACCACCGGGTTGCCTCCGGCCTTCCCCAAGCTCGAACATGTTGAATGGGTAAGAGCAGCATGAGTACTGTGGCTCCATAAGCACAGGGCTCCCACACTGGAGGCTGCCGGTGGTGCTGGAATCGCACCTCCACTCTGCGGAGTGTACTGCTCCACAGCCACCTGGTCTGGGGACAGGACTGGTACAACACCCCTCCCACTTCAGAACAAGCAGCCACACAGATGTGTTAAACAGCTTTAATCGCGGTCATTGCTGCTTCTCGGCACAGTAAGAAATATTGCACATGATCAACATGTTTTGTTCTGGGGATGGGGCGAGGGCAGGGGAATTACCTTCTTAGAAAGTACAACCCAAGTTGGGAGGGCAGAGGGGTAGGGAGAAAACCCTCCCTATGCCTGTGGCAAAAGTGCAGGAGCCCCACCCCCAAACTAACCTGAGTCCAGCCCCTCTGGGGAAAAACGGGGTGCATGAACTCCCCCCAACTCCACAGGCACCTCCCTGTGGCCCAAGGCCCACACTACCTTCCAGCTTGCAGCCCTCACATGAGCCATTTTGCATAAAGTACAAGTGAAAAGCTCTGAAGGTCCCACTCCAGGTTATAAACAGGGGCTCAGTGGAGGGAGACTGTGCCCTTGCTTCTCCTCAGCTGCCCCCCAGCACAGGGAGGGAACTGGGGGTGGGAGTATATACAAGAGGAGCAGGCCTCATTCCGCCCCCAGCTGGAAAGGACGAAATGGCTTTATTGGGGAGGAGGTAACCACCCTGCTGCCTCCACTTCCTGCCACCTACATACTGTCCATGTCCTGAGGGGGGGTACTGTGGGTCCTGGGATCTTCTCAAAAGGGCCCCTCACCTGCTTGTGGCAGCTGTGGAAGGGCCCGAGGGTGGAGAAGAAGGCTGGGGCGCTCCCTCCCAGCCAGGCTGTCCAGGCCCTGGCTCTGGAGGTGGAGGCAGTGGTGGGGCAGCCGGGGCTGTGCCAGAGTCCGAGCTGGGTAAGGTGGGGTCAGGGCCTCCAGCAGGGCTGGGTGTGGGAGCAGGAGTAGCAGCAGTGCCAGCTGGGGGCGGTCCGGGGAGGGGGGGCTCAGCTCCAGGGGGCTGCTCCGTGGGAGTGGCTGCCTGCATGATCTTCTGGCGCACCTCTCGGATCTTCAATTGCAGACACACCTTAGATGGGAAGATGTCTGCATAGCGGGCCTGAAAGGCTGCTGTGGCCTGGGCTGAAGACAGAAAAATTGTGGAGAGGGCAGGATGAGATATGTGGGCAAGTCCCACCCAAGTGACCTCCAGGAGTCTAAGACACGCTCACCTGATGGGAAGAAGCCGTGGTCCTGGAAGAGCTGCATGACCAGGGCACGACGCTGGTCCAGGGTACGCCGCAGGGAGGAATATGGCACCTTCTCATATTCCAGCTCTCCTAACACATCCTCAGCCTCTGTCCCTGCGGGAAAAGGGAGCAGGGTTAAGTCTACAACAGCATGGGCGATCCCATGCCTACAATCCCAGCGCTTGAGAGGCTGACACAGGAGGATTGCCCAGAGTTTCAGGCCAGTCTAGGAAACATACTGAGTTCGAGGCCAGCCTGAATTACATAGCAAAACCCTGTCTCAAGGAGGAAATAGAGACTACAACAGCAGCCCAAACCTCCTTGCCATCATCTAAGTACTTAGGTCCTCTCAATTCTGTTTCACAGAGTAAGGGGACCAGTAATATCGCATGGCAACTCAGCTACCTGATGAACTCCAGGACTCACCCGACTTGCTATTCTTCTTTGCAACACCACTTTGCATTGTTCCCACACTGCACCCCCCCAAAGCCCCTCCCCTTGGGTCCCTACAGTGCCCGCACCTGTGCGGTCAAAGGTGAAGATGTCCCCTTCACACTTGGCACTCTTGGGGGTGTTCGGCTCTGAGCTGCAGCTAGAGCGTCTCCTCATCTTGCGCTTGGGTGAGGTAGGGTCCTCTGGTGCTGAGTCCAGGTCTGGCCAAACAGAAGCAGGCTCAATAGAGGTAGCCCAACGCTGTTCCCCCACCCACCCAGGAGCCAGTACTCGCCTACCCGTGGAGTTCTTCCTCTTTTTGCGGTAAGAGCCCAGGATGGCCCGAGGCGAGGTGGCCAGGGATTGCAGGGTGGGTGATGGCAGCACTTCCTCTGGCCGAAACTCAGGCAGCTCGGCAAAGCGTTCTTCGAAGTCCACCTCTGACAGGACCCTGCTGGAGGGCCGACAGGGTACCTCTGCCTCAGCCTGCAGCCGCCCCCTCTCCCAACGGCCCCACACCCTTTGCGAAGGCCCCCAGCCCCTGCTCACTTGTCCACAGAGTCAAAGGTCTTCTTCAAGGGTGGGGGCCGCACCTTCACCTTCTTGCCGGTACCAGCAGCCTCCTTGCGCTCAGGTGTGTCCCCGGCCGCCCGCCCACTGCTGCCCTCGTTGCTGCTGCTGCTGCTGCTACCACCTGGGGCTGCAGCTGGAGCTGGGGCTGGACTAGGAGGAGTGGGAGGCTCCCCACGGCTCTCCAGGCCCATCCCAGGGACGCGCCAGTCTGAGGATGAGCTGGGGAATTTGCTGGCCTGGGGTAGGGACAAGCAGGGAGAAAAAAAACTGGGCTGACCCACTGGTGCAACAACCAGGAACAGATGCATTCTGGACAACTCAATGTACAGACACTTAGAGAAGACCCAGTCTCATGGCCTCAGGAAGGCCAGAAATTGGACCCCAGGTGGAAGGAATACAACAGACACGCGGGACACACATGCAGGCACGGATGTAAGAGGAGCAAGACAGAAAAACAGTGGGACAGTGGGCTGCAGACAGCTGAGCACCCAGGGGAGCCCCAAGACCCGCTGGACACTCACCATGGTGTCAGGGCCCTTGGTACCAGGGCGTTCCTCTGCAGGCAAGGGTGGTGGGGGACTGCTCCGGGCTGTCGGAGGCCAGGTCTCTGGGGGTGGAGGAGGGGCTGGCGGTGTAGGCTGTCCCTCAAGCTCAGTATCTGGGGCAGTTGGCTCTCGGGCTGGACCAGGCTCCAGAGGCTGCCGGGGTATAGGCCCAGGCCGCCCGGTGGCACCTGACTCAAAGGAGCCTACAGGAATGCTGGCGATGGCTGCCTTCACTTTTTGGGGGGCCTTTGGGCTGGGCCGCTGGGCCTTGGGGGCCACTAGGCTGTAGGTCATGGAGCCTGCTGGTGGGGAGAAGAACATTCATTGAATCAGGCCAAATGGAGATCATTCCCCACGTCCTCCAACTCACCCTTCCTTGGACTGGTCTGATTACTCACCTGTGGCACTAGGGAAAGGGCTGGTGGGGGCTGGGGTGGCAGTGGCAGGGACCGATGGGCCCTTGGGCAGAATAGTAGTGGCGGTAGGTGGGGTGGTGCTGGTGGCCACAGTATACACCAGGCTTGGGGGCGCCTGGGATGGCTGGGCCACTGGTGCTGAGGAGGAGGGTACAGGGCTGCCAGGGTAAAATGCCGTTATGACGGGACCTCCTGGGGCTGTGCAGGCAGGAGGCAACTGGGGGCTGGGCACAGGTGACACGCCCACCTGGCCCGGAGCCAGCAGTGGGGCTTGGCCTGCTAAGAAACAGAAAAGGAGAGGCAGGGTGCTGAGTTAGCACTTGGCCTGTCTTGGCCTCACTCTAAGTCCCCAGTGCTCCCTGCCAAGCTGCCCCTCACCTGAGAGCAGAGGCTGCACAAAGGCTGGTCCACTGGGCCCTAGTGAAGTGAAGCCTAGAGCTACAGAGCTTGTGGGCCCATAGGAGGTAACTGTTCCAGCCTGGCTAGATGCAGGGCTGGTGCCCAGGGGCAGTGTGTGCCCACCTGCCGACTGCACGTAGGTGATTCTGTCACAGAGGAAAAACAGGAAGGATGAAGTGAGCTGACCCACCCTGTCCTGCCCTCCCTCCCCTCCACTCTGGGAAGTGTTCAACTGTGCTCACCTGGTGGAGGAGGGCAATAGGACCTTCTGAGGCTGTGAGGTGGGTCCAGGGAGGGTGGCTGGGCTCAAGGGCGGCACCAGGCCGCTGGGTGTGCTCACAGGCACAGGAGTCAGCTGGATGATCTGTGGGTAAAAGCACCCACAGGATGGGGTGAGCTGTGACCCTAAAGCAAAAGGACTGAGACCTAAGAGGGGAGCTATGCAAAAGCCTCCCAGAATTTGGGATTAAGACATGACATGACAGGGCTGGGGATATAGCTCAATGGCAAAGTGCCTGCCTGGCAAGTGCAAGGTCCTGAGTTCGATTCCCAGTTCAAAAAAAAAAAGACATAACAAGAGGTGAGAACAGAGAGAAAGAACAAGGTATAGACACTGGGGACTTAAAACTGCAAAGTACACAGATGTCGTGAAAGATGCCAAGACAGAGCTTTGAGGAAGAGAAA